CAGCTGGCATTTTCAGGGTGCTGTGCTCTGCGGGCCGCGGCCACGCACCCTGCCGGCTGCCAGGGGCTGCGGGGGGTGGCAAGAACCAGCAGGGAGGTCAGAGGGATGAGATGTGGGATCGCGCTCCCCCGACACCCCGCCCCACTGAAGCTGCTGAAACCCAGCGCTGGAGGCCCGCGACCCTGGGCCTTGCTGGGACCTCTCTTTTCCAGCACAGAAGGAGGGTGTGAGCTCACCACGAGGTCCCTCACACCCCGCGCTGGCCCAGGGAGCTGCTCCAGGGGTGCTGGTGGGGACATTTGCTGGGGTCCCCTAGACTCCTGCAGTGACAGCTGCTGTGGCGTCTCAGCAGTGGGGCAAGAACACGGCAGGCAGCGCTCCGTCAATGGCTAGGTACCAGTATTGAAACGCTGAAGGATTTTCTGTGCTCCAGATAGTTGTTTTGTTGCACATTTGTATTTTAAGGCTCATCAGTATTTGCAACAACTTCCTTACTAAAGATATGCTGTCAGTGCCTGAAACTGGATTGCTTCAAGGCCTCACATTTTGGGGCTGTTACACTGATGACAGATCACAGGCAGGTCCAAGAGGAAGGAGAGCAAATCTGAGAACACCACCACAGCAAGATCTTGGTCTATCTGCTGCATGCCCATCTGTCTCCTCCTCAGTCTGCTCTTTTTCCATTCTGCTAGTGAGCACCCTCTTGTAGAGCAGGGGAAAGACCCAAACCCTTGGCAAGTCAGCAACTGCACACATGATGCTGTGGAATATAGAGAGTAAACAAAGGGATGAAAACACGCATCTCCTCTTTCCCATTTCTGAGATCTAAGCATTTTGTTATTTGCCAGTAGATTTTCAGACTGAAACGTGCCTTTCTTTCACTCCTTCAAAATGCTGATATGCTCAGTAGTGGGTATGTGATGAGTGTAGCCAGCCTGTGTCCTGTGGGACCATACGTAATACTGGTGCCAGCTCTCACGATAGTCCTGAAAGTCCCATAATAGCTGGTATTTTTGGGAAGCTGTGCTGACTTTCATATAAAATATACCTCGTGGTTGTGAAGAAGATGTAACAAACATGATCCAAGATTACTCAAAAGGCTCAGCAACAAAACCATAAATGCAAAGAGGCATAGAAAAAAAAAATCAAGATTGAGGCATCATTTGTACGTTTAAAAGATGCGCTAGACTTTTTCAGCAATGGATTTCTTTTGTAGGTGTGGCCTGATTCTGTCACTCAACTCCTGACAAGCCAGTGACACCTTCAAGCTGGTGTTTAACACAGCAGGGGTGTCAGAAGGCTTCAAAAACCCTTTGCAAACACTGGCCTCACACTGACCACGTTGTTCCTGGGAACACATCTTCAGGGTTTTTGAAAGCTTGAAAAGCACAAATGAGAGCAATATAAAGCTAGAAATATTTTCTCTTGCACTGATTTCCATGCCTGTATTCATTTTGACTTCTGAATATCAAAGGAGATAGCCAAACCAGATCCACAGAAATACCCCCCCTGAGTTACCCCCATAACTGTGCTCATTTCTGAGCTGAGCCTTCAAAAAGCCATCAAGACTGAAGTCTTTAGCTTACCTCACAGCTAATATAATGCAAATGTCATCTTCTGAAGATTTCACGATCCAATGGACGCCAGCTGTGTCTGCCCAGAGTCGCTGATTGCCAGAGACAATATTGCCCAAGCCTTACAGTCAGTTGTTGAACTGAATGCAATCAGGTGTTGAATCATATGCTGAAAACAATTAGTGGTAGCAAAGAACTAGCTGTGTTAACTCTGTATCTACCTTAGCATTTATTTCCTTGCAAGTAGACATTAGCATGTGTTTGCAGTGGGGTGTGAAGTGGCTGTTGCTCCTCAGATGCCATGGAGTGGCTGACTGTCTGGAGGGTAGAACACCCATATCCATTTGCATTCTCCCTGTTCACATCTGAGGGAGGGGATGGGGCGGAGGCACCGCTTCCTGGCCTTAGTGACTAAAGAATCATCCTACCAGTAAATCCCAGCTGCCCTCTGTATCCCTTCAGCTGCCAGGTCTCAGATTTCCCCCAGACAGTGCCTATGATGGTGTTGTGCATTATCAGATTTGCTGTCTTTACCTGGAGTTTGAGGACAGCATAACAGTAGTTGAACTTCATACCACAATAAATAAATAGAAGAATCACGTCCTTCAGTGCCTTCTGTGGAGGAACATATCCCACAGGGCATCTTCTGATGCTAATGTGAAAGATCTGGGTGCTGTTCTGGAGACAGAGCTGTGGCTGTAGGGTGACAACGTTTTTTAATGTCCAAGGCATGATGGACTAGAAACACGTTACCCTACCTGGCTCCTCCCACTCTGATTTCTTTGTCTCTAAGAGCGTTTGTAAGGACTTGCTGGCAGATGAGCCATGTGGGGGGGATGAAGGCAGCACAATGTCATCCTGGGGAGGGGAAAGAAGGGAAAATCCTTGCTTTGTCTGCCCGCATCTTAAAGCACACAACTGGGTAGGATTTCTAAAGCTGTGGCACCAGAAGCTCAAGCTTTGTCACAGCTCCAAACCTCTGCTTCATCCCCAAATGGTCTTTCATAGCACTGCAGGTTGCGCTTGCTGAAGATCATCCAGTGAGAGAGACTGGTGACATGAATGCAGCCTGTGTGCTGCAGGGACCTGCAGCAGTTAAAATACCGAGCTGACCTTCCATGGCTAGCCTGGGGAGCTCCCTCTTTTGACCCAGACCTCCACTTTTACATTTCCCTTCTCTCTGGCTGTCTTGGTTTCTTTCAGCAACAGCAAGAAGCAGAGCCTTGCTCCTCTCAGAGAAAATGCTGGATGTGGCCCCTCTCAACCTAAGCATCTTCCACTTCAAGGTGAGCAGCTGCAAGAAAGAGACCCAAAGTGGCCCCTCGCCTCAGCAGCTCTGAGTGCAAGGATTGCTGACAACAGTGCAGTACAGGCAGTGAAACTGTGCTGGGTGTTGCCGGGACAGGGACTATTGCCAGGCATTGCCAAGTGCCAGAGCAGGAGAGGAGGGTGCCCAGGCACAGAACGGTGCCTTTCTCTCCTGCACCCTGCTTTGCTTGGCCACCAAGACACCCTGCAGCCAAGCAGCTCTCCTCTAATCTGCTTCTTAGTTTCTCCCTGGTAGGGTGGCACCAGCACCAGCTGTCTCCTTGGGAACTGCACAAACACATCTGGTGAGCTTTTTGCCCATGGCAAGCGGCAGACTGCTCACAGTGGCAGCTGGAGGTAGCAAGATTGGAAGGAAGAAAAAAACCCAACCAACCTCTGTGCACGTGTCTACCAAGTCAGCTCTGCTAGTCCATCTCCTGCAGTCCCCTTTGTCCTCACATCATGCTGTGACAGCCAGAAGTCACCATACCAGTTCAGGTTATCATTTTATTTGAGTCCTTTATACCATGTGGGGCAACTTCTCTAGCTGATGCCTTCAGCGAGGCAGCCCCCATCTGCCAGACATGGTTCATCTCTCCAGGGGTGAGAACTGCAGGTGCAGCTGAAGGTCAGGTTTGAGAGGAGGCAGTTGGTATTTGATGTCTGCCTGACACCAAAGGGATTCACTAGGGCAGAAGCTAGCAAGGTTTGTCCTTGGTGCTGGGGGAGTCCTCTTGTACAAATGGCTTCTATCCTTTCAATGAGGAGCACAGAAAGTTGCCACAACTGCGGGGACTCAGCAAACTGAGGATGCTAAGGAGCAGGGACTGGCTCCAAATCACTGTCTCCAGGCCCTCCTCTGGCTGGCTCCCTACAGCTCTTGATGGAAAACACTGCTTAAAAGCAGCCAGCATCTACTGGAGTCCTGGCAGAAGCAGCAAGAAAAATGACATCTTGGAAGGAGAAAAAAAACCCTGCCCAGCCAGTGCTGAAGGACAGGGGAGCAGGATGCCCTCTGTGCTGCCTCTCCTCCCAGAGCTTTCCGCTCTCCCTGGGTCCCAGCAGGAACTGTGCAGCTGCTGACAGCTATTAATAGACAGAGAGAATGTGGGCTCTATCTCCTACTGCTTCCTGGGATGAATGGTAATTACCCTTAATTAGACTGGATTTCATTCCACCTCCTACCTTCCAGCCCCCTTGCCTGTGCTGGCAGGGAGAAACTGGCCCATCTGCTGCCTGCGCTGGCTTTGTGGGATGCAGGGCTCAGCAGAGAGAGCAGAGGTTCATCTCCCCGGGACATCCCACAGGCCTTGCCCGTGGATGCTGAGCACAGGGGAGGAGGCAGAGCCTGCTAGCTGGAAGGCTGCAGGAGCTCCTCTCACTCTGGCCTTTCCAGTAGCACACAGGAGCCCTGGGGGGGAGTGAGAGAAATGATCCCACCAAAGCCTGAGGATTCAGATGGGTTGGATGCTCTCACTCTCTGAGATTAATTAAAGAAACAAGATGGGAAGAAATAATCAGGGGATCTGACCTGTCATGCCTGACATCTTCACCACCATGCAGTGCACCAAGGCCTGTGAAAAGGGGCATCCTTCCTCTGCTGCTGGTGCAAGCCAGTCCCAGGATACGCCTGGACTTTTCCCCCAGCTACGATCTGCCCAAGGGGGATGCTTTTTTCCTTCTTATGCCACTGCACCTCTGGCCTGAACTCTGAAGCAGGAAGGTTTCTTTCATCCAGGTTACTTTAGTGCAGAAGCAAAAATACTGCAGGAGGTTTTCTTCATCCACTGAGGCTATGCCTCCCAGGAATCACATTCTAAGATGGAGGCAAAAGTCGATGGCTGCTAAATCTTTCCTGTACATCCCAGACCCTGCCTCTGGGGCAGGAGACACTCCATCCCAGTGTTTGCCCAAGATGCTTGGTAAGGCTGCACTTCGCTAATCCCAACTCTGTGCTGTTCTGCTCATCTGAACA